GTAGCGTCCTTGCTCCTAGTAGTAAGGCCAGGAGCCCCTAGTAGCTTCTCCAGGGTTGTCCCATGCAAGTCCAAATTCCGGAGATGTCTCCAATTCATCTGTTCGTGGAGATGAAGAAGAAGGCTTCTGTTCAGGCCTCGGAAAATCCTTGTCCAAGGCTGTCTTGCGCTCTCTTCTCTTCATCTTTCGAATCCTATCGACATTCTCCTGCATGTCCTCCACTTCGGCCTTGGTTGGATTGTCTTCAACAAAACGTGGATTGTCTTCACCAACCTGCTTGGTTTCTGTGACCTTTCTCCTTATTTAAGAAAATGCTGCCCCAGAACCACTTGCTCCCGTCTCACCTGAAGGTAAGTTTGAGGCATCATCCACATCCATCTCCCTTGGCAGGAAGTCCGATGCAGCTTGAGGTTCCAGTGGCCCTTTTCAGTCACTCACCTTTTTCGGCCTTTCACTTGGGAAGGATCCTGTCTTCTTAGAAACAAGAAGCTACTAGGGGCTCCTGGCCGTACTACTAGGAGCATCCTTACTATACTAGCAACAAGAATAATTCTTCCATAACGACATTTTCTACTTCAGGATCTTCCTCGAGATTCTCCTCTTCCATGTCAGCGACACATTTGAGAATTGGAGGATGCTCACCAGAAATCAAAACAACTCGAGGACTCTTGGCCTCATCTGGCTTCATCTCTTCAGTTGCGCAGTCCTCAACAATGTTCTGGTATTCAGCGTTTTGTGGAGTTTTTTGTTCGCATAAAAACGATTTGGTTTCGGCTTCTGTGAGATCTCTGTCTTCTGCAGGGTTTCCTGTGAGTCCTGGGAAGGAGGAGTGACATCAACTGTTTCCTCTTCCTTAATGGGCACCTTTGACTCCTCTTCCTGGATGAGCTTTTCCCAGAATGTCACATCGTCTGCATCAAAGTCAATCTCCGTCGAAGGATCCAAAAGATTGGCAATATTGGTGGCACATGTAATGTAGTTTGTGCAAGTACAGGTCGTGGATAACTTCTGCAAACAAATGCAACATCTTGTGAGTCTCCTTGTCCATCTCCTACCAGGGATGTCGTGGAGGGTCTTCAGAAAGATCCCTTTCATTGTCTAGGAGGCAGCTGCGATGACGTCTGTGGCATCGGGCTGTGTGATCTAACGAAGCAGGAATCGGTGACGAGCAACATGGATGAATATGGATGTTGTTTTGCAAACAACTGCTTTGATTTGTTCCAATAATTTCCACAAGCAGGTCAGAGTTTATTCTTAAGGTTGCAGGTTTCAAGTAGCCGATCGTATTTCCAGTTTTTTGATAAATTTGGTGTCAATCCTTGGCTGTCATTCCGCGCTGAGGCGACGAACTCATGACGATTTCAATCAGCTTGGGCCGGCAGTGCGCAAGCGTGAACAGCTGGCCAAATCCTTACAGTCCAGAAATCGACAGTAGTCAGACGTGTTGGAGAGCATCGGGATCCACAACTTGCAGTGCTGACACCACCGATATTCGTCACTTGGACTTATTGGTGCCAATGCTTGCTGGTGTGTTTCATGTTCAAAAGCTAGGCCGGTAAGTGAGGGGGTGCATTCGGAGTGTTGTTGGTGCCGATTCCTCTTTGAATGCCACCCTAGGCCACCAACGCTTTTGCTACTGCACCATGGCAACGACAATGAGAACGAGGGCCGAGCCACCAAACGGGTTTCAATTTGCGCAGGCGCCTGCTGAAAAAGAGAACTCGCTGATCCAGATCGAAGCCGAGCCACCAAAGGGATTTCAACTTGTGGAGCCTACCGCTGAACCTTGGTTCTGAGCTGTGGATTCTTTTTGCAGCAAGTGGGCCCTTGGAAAGCTACTAGACTTATATGCTTCATACAACAGTTTGTTTGGTTCACACTTGCTTCACCCAATCCAACTTCGGAGGACAGCTCGCCGGTGGAAGGTGCAGTCTTCACCGGGATGGCGCGCTTCGAATCCAGCTGCAGCAACCCCAAGGAGTGCTACGACATTTACCGATTCGGTGGTTGTGTTTCAAGCGCCAGTGGGTGGCTGCCCACCGACCAGACCTACTGGGGAGTCGTGAGCGCGGACAATGCAACCCCATCAGTTCGTTGGGAGAACCAAGCTCCCTCACCCGTTCCTTTCGCAGCGCACACCGTGGTGGGCAAAGACCAAGATCATGCCTTAGTACTTGGTGGCCTGACCTCCTGTGGTGAAGATGCTGCCCACCAGAACTTTCTGTGGCAGTGGAGGCGGACGGATGGAAGCTGGGACCAATTGACTCCCATCCCAGAGCCTTGCGGGCTAGCCTTTCACACTGCGCACTATTTTCGCGATCAAGGCAGAGAAGGAATGACGAATATACATACACAATCTACAAGAAAGAATCAAACACATGATGTTTTTTTTATCATATGATAGATATTTGACTTTCGATTAGTTTTTTCTTTTGTAAAGTGATGGAGGCGGAAGAAACGGAATGGTGGTCTTCGGCGGACTTCATGGAACTTCTGGGTCAGGGTGCACAGCAGCGGCTCCAGTCGTTTCGGACTCTGTTTGGTGGTTCGACTTTCAGACGTTGACCTGGTCGGAGCGACCTGGCAAGAACCCGATGGTCTCCAACCTAAAAGCGATGGCCTCCAGTGATTGAATCTGTAGGTAGCTTTTGGACTGTTCTGAATAGACGCTTCGCGCGCAGATCTGAGGAAGAAGATCATCCCTCACGGTGTATGGGGACACGCAAGCACTCTCATATCAGTCAGTAATCTTGGAAAGCGGAGGGGACTCTGTGTCCATGGCGGCCGCATGCAGGATGGATCCATAGATAACACGGTGCGTCTCTATCCTCTTTTGGGCATCATCTCTGGACCTGGTACCTGGGCATGTTGATGGCGGTCGTCAACCACGTGTCTGTTTGTTGCCTTATTGTTGGATATGTTATGATATGTTGGGTCCTGTTTTCCCATGTAGGCTTTGGCTCTAATTCATAAATCCGTTCTTCGAGTGTAGCATAGTTGCCATCATATCTTGGAGGTTTGAACCTTCGCTTGTGTGTTGTCGCAAGTTCTGTTGCTGGTTGTGGCTGTGGCTGTTGATGCTGTAGCCATGTTCGAAGCTGGCCCAGTTGGGGGATCAGCCTTCAATTTCTCACCTGGCCCGCTGCGGTGTTGCAGTGGAGACGCCCCTTGTCAGACGCAGCTCCGCTACCGTGTAAACATGTAAAAGTACCATGACTGGCCCTTTGATGTCGCTCCTTTTCCTGTTGTTGTCAAGGCAGTCTTGTGTCCTCACAGAATAATTAGCTGACATGCTGGAGAAGAACTGTTGACCTTTCTAGCAAAGCCAATTGATCAAAAACAAAGCACAACAAAGCAACAAAAGAACAGAGACAAGCTGCCAACACAAGTGTGATCCAAAGCTCCCAGAGGCTCCTTTTCTCTCAGAGGGCACTGGAGCCAAAGTCCTAAAGTCCCCCTGTCCATGTCGGACACGGGAGAAATGGTGCTCATTCTTGGTACAAACACGCAAACAAACACAAGCAACCAAGCCACAAGAACAAGGGAACCAAACAAGCAGCTTTAGAAAACAAAACCACCACAAAAACCAACCGAAGAGGTACAGAACGAAGCATGGAAACACCTTTAACAGAAACACTAGAAAGCAAAAAACAGCTAACCGACCATTGCAAACCAAACCCAGCAAAACGCACTCACAAACACTGCAAATGAAAGCGCGCAAAATTAGAAGGAGGCGCATGTTTAAGGTCTTTTCATTTTTTTGATTTTCAGCAGATGTTGCTTTTGCTGCTTTTCTGCTTTTGCTTTTTTTTTGGCATTTCTTTTGCGTTTACTGTTTTGCTGCTTTTGCGGCTTTTCCTTTGCATTGCTGTTTTGCTTTTGCTGATGTTTTGCTTTTGCTGTTTTTTTTTTTTTTAAATTGCTTTTACTGTGTTGTTGCGTTTGCTGCTTGTTTGCTTTGTTTGTGCTTTTGGTGTTTGCCTTGTTTTTTGGCGCTTTGTCTTTTTGGACTCGTTTCGTCTTTTTGTTGCTTTGGTTGCTTTGCTGCTTTTCTGCTCTTGTTGCTTCTGTTGATGTTTGTTGTTGTTTGGTCTACTGTGATGCATTTGTTGCTGTTCAGTCTGCATTACTGCGCAACTTGCACACACTCGTGTTTCATATGTTCTTTAGCTGCACAAACACATTAGACAGACAAGTGTCAATGCGCTTTGCGCATATGTATGTCATGGTCATGGTTGTTTTGCGGCGTTTGTGGGAAAAATCATTGAAGTACAGCACTGCTTACACGTGGTGCTTACAAGACGCAATAAAGCCAACATTTAGGTGAGAGCAAGGAGCCATTCCAAGGTAGCAGACCGTTTGCTAGCCACCCGAGGTCAAAATCTAGACAAGAAAAGGTGTTGCCAAGCTATCAGACCTTTTGTGAGCCATCTGAGGGTGAAATTTGGAGGAGGAAGGTGCCATTCCAACATGGCAGACCTTTTGTGAGCCACCCTCGGGTAAAGTTTAGAGGAGGTAGGAGCCATTCCACCACAGCTGCCCATTTGTGGGCCACCTGATGGTGACATTTAGAGGAGGAAGGGGCCATTCCAAGGTAGCAAACCTTCTGTGAGGCACCCGACGAAAAATTTAGACGAGGAAGGTGCCATTCATAGCAGACCTTTTGTGCCACCTTAGGGCAAAATGTAGAGAAGGAAGGGCATTCCAAGAGAGCAGACCTTTTTTTTTTAATCGCGATGTTAGAATTTAGAAGAGGAAAGTGCCATTCCAGCATAGCAGGCCTTTTGTGAGCAACGCGAAGGTAAAATTTAGACGAGGAAGGTGCCAATACAACATAGCAGGCCTTTTGTGAGCCGCCCGCGGGTAAAGTTTAGAAGAGGAAGGTGTCATTCCAATGTAGCAACATACCGTAACATACCTGTGTGCGCAAGTGAGTCTCAGCGTGGGCAAAGGGTTCATGCATCCGCTAGTGAGTTACTTTTACGCGCGCAAGTGATGTTTTGGACATGGCCTCTTCACCATCAAGTAGGTACATCAAAACGCACTGCCGACATCGCTTTCGCAAGTGAATCGAGTTTTGCATGCGCAAGTGAGTTGTGAGCCAAACCCAACAAACACCACGAACAACATGACGCAAGCAGCCGTGCACAGAAACATCCAAGCACACGCCCTTCCCCAGCCTCCCTCCAGCACCACGAAAGCCACATTGCTTAAAGGTCGACCACGCTCCACTGCGCCGGGCACCATGGCAATCTGCACGACTTCTTCCACCAATGTATTTTGTTTGCTACGACAGCTGTTCCTCTTAAGTGTCAGCTCCGCTGCCGAAGTTGTTTCTCTTTCAAGCTCAGCCACTCACTCCACCTTGTGTCCGCTTTTCCTTTCCCTAGGTTGCCGTAAATAGCAACGAATTGTGCAGCCCCCAGGATGAAAAATATTCGCCTTCCAGCCAGTAGCCCACTAGACTGTGCAAAGAGGATGAAGTCAACATCCTACATACGAGCAATGTTATTCATAAATCAATTATATACAGACATATCACTTAATGAGTTGTGATTGTGATTGTGATCTCAAAATCGTTTCAGAATCCTGAAGGCGGAACACTAAGGCAAGGAGATCAAACCCACTTCGACTTCAAACACGGGGCCACAGCGGATGTTCCACACAATGAGCCTTGGCTTGTATTTGTTTGGTCACTTTGCACAGTCAATCTTTGGCTCGACTAAATAGTTAACATGTTGCCGTGGAGACCTGGGAAGCCACTTTGTGGACTGTGGCTTCGGAGGTGAGCCATTTGCACAGTTCAACTATACCACTTGCCACAAATCTGAATCAGAATGGTGAAGCTCCACCTGCAGTGCGCCAGCAAGGGCCAAATTGAGTTTATGGCATACCCATCGCCTGCGCGAAACGGAGTGCGGCAGTAGCCGCCCACGTTTCCGCTCTCACCACCGGTTTGCTCAATTCCGGGAAACCCATCCCCTGGGAGCCCCGCCTACCCCTGCGTGCCTTGCAAGCAAAAAAGAGAACCTATGCGGCAACGCTGCCAAGGCTGCTTGCGTTGCATGGACTGGTTGAAGCCAAGCTGGCCATCCGATGTGTTTCAGGAGAGGTGCATGCTGAATTGCATGGACCACCTGCAAAAAGGTTGACCTCTACAGTGAGGCTGAGAATCCTCAGCCCCACCATTGGCAGACGGGTGTTTCCACCCCTTGACTGGTTTGCTTAAACACTATATGAAGGATCCTTTCAACAAAGCTCGAAGTAACCCTTGCTGTTAAGTAACCCTTGCTGTTAATTCAGCAGGCATCTGATCTGGTCAATTGCAACCTTCGGGCATGCGTGTTGCAGCCCTGTGAAACCCTTGCGATGCCTCCATCGCAAACCGACTGGACCCAGTCCCGGAGCACCAGCCGTCGTACATCCTGCGGCGCCGCTTTGGTCAAGCTGCACCAGTAATCTTCACGGCTGGGAAACCCAAATGAGCTTTTTTAAAAATTGAGCCTATCCTAAACAACCGCTGCACAAGAAGGCCACATGGGCCTGGAGCTACATCAGTGCCTCTTTGGCCTATCGGGACATCACTGGGTCTTGCAACTCTGGGACTCCGAATCGGCGAAATTGGTTGATCATTGCAAGAGGTTCTGGGTCAGTACCTGGGCGCTCGAGCAGGAAGTGGATTGTCGGTTGAGTTCCCTTGTTGTTTGTCGCAGTGCCTGCAAGAGGTTGTACTGTTGCCTCAAGAGCCTTTCCGATGTAAAACCCCTCGATCCAACTCATCGATGAATCCCAGGGACTATAGGGATTACAAATCGTTTTTCGTGCCGGATGAGACTAATTACAGGCGCATAGCTGTGTTCAGGTGGCACGCCCCTGCTCGACAGTATCTTTGATTGCGTTCCTTTTTATTGCTAAGGATGCAATTTGGAAGAACGTCATTTGGCAACCACATGAAAGTGACGGGAGGTGTGCGGCCCACTTCCTCTCAAAGTTTGCCATTTTCTGGCGAACTCACCCTGAGTTCGAGAACCGACAACCTCTTCTTTTCTGGTGTGACTGGGCAATTTTATGAACTGCTATGGGCAGTGGAGGAAAATCCAGCTGACGATCCGCCAAGGACCTGGGGACAAACGGCAACCCGTCGGCAGTTAAACTGAACGGTTTAAAGGCGTTTAAACGTTGCGTTTGCTGTTACCCTTATTGACCCGATTGGAACCAAAGCTAGATTAGATGGGTTGAGTTGGATCGCTTTGGTTGGGTGGTGGAATCGAGTGATAGTGACAAGTGACAAGTATATCTACCTGCCACAATGTTTGTGACCGGCAACAACGTGGCAAACCCGCTCAATGCCCAAACCGGTGTGAACCATGAAAATCCAACTGTTCCTCATGTTCCTTGGCAACGGTTCATGAAACCTGCCAGGGGTTGGAGTACAATTATGTGACTGGCAAAGACGGTGGGAAGGACTACGACTTCATGCTACTGGGTGGCTGCCTTGGAGGCCCATGTGTCCCCGCCAACGATCTTTATTTGTACCGAGCCGGCGCCCAAGGCGCCCAAGGCGTGTTCTTATCACTGCTTTGCATCCTGCTCTTGCGGTAGAAAAAGGGGACCTGCGTTTCACTTTGTGACCTTGCAAAGTGTGAGTTCTCTATCTTTCGCAAGACAACGAAACTGGAACAAGATTCCTTTGAGTGCCTCTTTGAGGCGTGGCATTTCGTGTGCGAATTTAAAGTTCCTTCTCGATGGGGCATGGCCATTTGCGGCTTGTGATTTTGCCAAAAACTGGTTAAAGTTAAGGTTTGCAATCATGTGGAGATTTGATGAGATTTGTTATGAATATCCAGGATATGCATGTCACCTTCAGCTGGGCTGCACTCTGATTCGGCGATCGCCGGCACCATCAAGGTTGGCCACATCCCTTGGAAGATCGAAGAATCCACACGACAATTGCTTGCAAATTTGTCAACCGGAACTCACAGTCTATATATTCATTATTTTGCTCCATCACCGTCATCGATGGAGGTGATGATCCGGTGGTTTGTGTGACCACCGACGGCCGAAGACCCGTGCCACGACGCAGACGGGATCACCGGCACTTGCTCCGCGAAGGCGTAGAGCGAGCGGCACGGAGCAGGGCAGAGCGGCCCTGATCGAATTTCTGATAGGCCTAGTAACAAGGGCATCGCTACTCATAAACCTATTTGCGATGGCCTCCACCCTAGAAGCGATGGCCTCCAACCTAAAGGCAATGGCCTTCAACTTGTTTATTGTTTGTGTTTCCATTTTTGCTGATTTTGTTCCAATACACAGGGATTCCCAAGTGGAAGAAGGGAGGAAGGTCAAGCGCCAGTACACGTTAACATTGATACGCGCTGAGCCCAGTCGGAGTTTTGTGCCTTGCTCATGGGATTTTTGTTTTGAAATGGATGGGAAATCGTAGTTTGAATTCTAAAGCTTGAACAATGGTCTACTGTAGCTGCGCTTTGCACCTACAGTGGCTGGTACGAGTATACCGCACACTGCTTCCAACACATACATAGAATAGAACAAAGATGAACAATGTCAAAAAGACGGAACAGGATCCCAAGATCAATCACCCGTCCGCGGGTCCAAGATGAGAGGACGACTCGGGCGCATCTTGCGACGTCTTGGAGTTCGGAGTGGAAAAAGGCCGATCGAATCCCAGACTCTTGCTGAAGGCAAACAGCATGTCAGGAGTCAGTCAGAAGAAAGTCAAACCTTTCTTTGCAACTAAACCTCTCAGAGAGTAATTACTACATGTAATTACAGTATACCCACGCACATCCCCTAATGGTAGCAGTCTTATGACATCTTACGACAAAAGGTTTGCTCTGAGACGCCCAAGCTCCCAACTGCCAAATCTGTTGATATTGGGACACAAGAGTGTCGCTCAGCTCTCTTTGCTGCAGCTTTTCTGGTTTTATGAAGCCGTCACTGTTGATTTCGGTTGAACATATTGTCACGCTGACAGATATTTGAACAGCTGACATGCTGCTGAACCATGCTGAAGTAGCCTAGCGGCCGAGCGCTGCATTGGAGACCTTGGTTCTTTGGCGACCCCGACAGGGTCTTTGCACCCATGTCAAGTTCAGCAGCTTGTTGATCAAGATGAATCAGATTGAGCAGGTAGTAGCTATGTGGCCACAGGTCACCACCATTTGTGACATAAAAGTAATTTGGGTTCTGAAGCTGCATTTGAAGCCTGTCCACAGCGTTCCACGAGTTTTGGGCCTTTTCAACGTTCCAAACCAGTCAGATACACCGAGTCTTTACGTCCCAACGCGTCATCGTCAGCATCGCCTCATCACTCTTCTCCGGTTCCACCCGGCGGACAGCGTCTGCGGCCATGGCGGAGGACGGTCGTGGGCTGCTCGAGGCCGTCGCAGCTGCGTCGTCGCAGTGTCAAGAGCTTCGAGCAAGCTACGACGTTTGCTTCCTCTCCTGGTACCGCAGCAGCTTTTTGGCCGGCGACTTGAAACATGATTCTTGCAGCAAGATCTGGGAGGACTATCGCACCTGCGTCCTGAAAGAATTGAAAGGAAGAGGTTGGGAGAAGATTGCCCAGTTTGAGTACAACATGGCTTCAGACTGCGATGCGTCCACACAGCGGCCCCGGCGATCTTGGTGAAACACACGCTGTGTCTGGCAGCTTTTGTGGTCACCGAGGGCCAGAAGAGCGGATATCCCTTGCCATCTTTGACCTACCCAGTCGGTTCCGAAAACTCTGGGAATCTCTAGCTGGCGTCACAAGCGGAGACGATGTTGACTCTGCCCGTGGCGGACGTCCGGTGGCACCTTCTTCACCAAGCATCATACGCAGCCCAAGGCTCATAGACAGCCCGCCCTGCGCACGTGGATCTACGCTATGGATTTAGCGCAGCATGGCCTGGATTGATTGCGCGTGGTGCGCGCGGTGCTGCAACTTGTTGACTTCATTGAGGATTTGGTGGACCATTGAGTCCTGAGGCAGATTGTTGCGACATTGAACAGATCGTTTGTCCCTCAAGAAGTGTGCGGTTTGTGGTCCAGGCAGTATATTCTGCTAGAGAGGAAGGACTCAGTGTATTCTGTTCCTTTTTGCTCCGTAGCCTTACAGACAGACATGAAAGCAATGGCACGCAAGCCCCGGGCACTGTAGCAGGACACCTCTACAGACTTTCAGAAGGCGCCGTGCCCGCTTGCGCCAGGCGCGTTTGTCTCGGAAGTTCCGCTCCCGGAAGTTGCAAGACAGACTTCCGAAACTTCGGTTTTTAAAGAAACATATCAACGGAATGGTTATGACATGTTATGATGTTTCTTTTCTTTTGTTCATTTTTGGGATACCTTTCAGACATGTTATATGTTTTTTTGTTTTATGCTTCCGCTCCACATTAGTGTTCTGTGCCGATCTCCGTGCAGAGACACACGTCGTTTCACTCTTTCTCTAGCAGATTTCACCGACTTTTGCTACCCAGAAGAATGCTATTGGGTTGGAGGCCACGGCCATCGCTACTATAAGGTGGAGGCCATCGCTATAGTAGTTTTGTTTGTGTTCACTATGACTGTCCTCAAAGCTCCTTTGCCCTGCTTTGCTGTTACACCAGCTGACAACCTGCTCGCTGGTCGTAGAAAGGACTCCCTTGAAAGGAGTTTTTAGCTTAGACTCCGCACGAAACGGGGATCTCCAAAACGCTTGAAAGTCACACCTTATGGGTCCACCAACCCCCCCCATATCCCACCCCTGTCGGAATGTACAGCGCGCAGTTCTGTTGTGTTCGACGGGTTCATTGTAGATCCGGAATGGAAAGGATGCCAAGGTCTGGCGAAAACCTGCGGACCAGTTGAAGCCCTCTTGCGATTGAAAGTAATTTGAAATGGAGTTCATGAGTTCAAGACCTTGCTCCAGTTGCTCCTTGTCGTGTCTCACAGCGTGGTAGTGTAAGCTGCAAGGTCCACTGTACTAGAAGCCGCTCTGATCTTTTTGGCAACTCCTTAGACTTGGAGTAAAGGACATGACTCATTAGAAATTCCAAACAGGCCTGAAGGTAAAAGAAAGAATGCTGACAACTTGCTTCTCGGGACATACAGGCCTTGCTACCTTCCTGTCAGATCCTTGCTAAATCCCCACACAAATAGAACAAGAAAGCCGATGATTTCTGCCAGTGAAGCATGGAAATCAGGAATGTCCCTTTCATCTTTCAGCAGATCGATGGTACCAGCCTTTGGATCGATTTCCAGCCTTGTTTATGTGTGCATTGACGTGGGAGAACTCGAGAAATGCCCTGAAGTCTTTGTGGTTTGTTCCTTTTTGGCTGCCTCGCGCGCCTTCTGCTTCGGCAAATCGGACACTGAAAGGTAAGCAAAGTTTCAGTGTTGCGTTCTTGGATGGTGTTACAATCCGAATGCTTCTTTGAATGCTTCTTAAATGGTTTGCTTTGAACGCTGTGCTTCCCGGACGTGGAAGGTGAGATGCTGTTTGGTTCCGGTTCTTTCACGGTGCAAGTGGTTGTGCAAGTGGTTGTGTTGGGGTTGCCTGCGGCTGAGGGTTGCGCATGCCAAAGGGCTGCCTGCGGAGATGCCCGGGGTACAGTTCCCTTGTGGAGGGTTTGAAATCGTGATAATTAGTTCGAGGGAATGAGTCAAAGGCAATGGAATGCAAAGGCGAGAATTCTCGAGGCTTATAGAAAATTTAGATTTCAGGAGAGCGGTATCGAGAAGCAGGGATTTCCAGATAGAGATAGAAGGGACGGTAGAAGAGCAGATTTGACAGACAAGTGTAGAGGAACGCCGATATGACAAATTTAGAAGCACACAGTGCAGACGAGTGGGCACTGGAAGTTGCACCAAAACAAAAGTGTTTTAAGCAAGGTCAGTATAGAAATGTATGCAAAAACAGAGAACATCTGAGAGAAAAGTAGGCGTTGCCGCACACCACATCGCCACATTACCACATAGTTTGCGGTGCTCCACATAACATCGCACACATCATAAACTGCAACACATTACATCACCACAGGGAAAATAAGAAGAACCACACATCACACATGTTCCTGTGATTCTTTCTCAACTTCCACCTCAAAGCCATTGAGTAGTGGGGGTTATTAATAGCGATGCGATGGCTTCCAACCTACTATATATATTTCCTGTAATAGCACCCGTGTACCCCGTGCTTTGTGGCGTGTTGCAGGCGTCCTGGATGCTGCGAAGTGCGCGAGACGGGTCACCGTTTCGGAGGTCCAGATGCCATCAGCGGTGCAAAGCAAAAGGCTTGCGAAGCGGTGCAGGACTTGCATGATACCCTTTGACGCATTGAGTATGGCTTCTTTGCCCACTCTAAACTGCAGCTGGTGTGGCCCTTTTAGCAGATCAACAGGGAACCATACACGAGTGACTGTAGTCTTTCAAGTTAGAGCACGTTTACACCAGATATGTACAGGCGTTCAATGTGCACTGTCACGTGTTTCTACGCCTCCTTCGTGGTCAGAGAGTTTGGACAAACCTGACCGCTGTTAACCTCCAACCTACTAGCAATGGCCTCCGACCTAATAGCAATGGCTTCCAACCTGATAGCCATGGCCTGCACCCTAGTAGCGATGGCCTCCAACCTAAGAGCGATGGCCTCCTCCATGGAATGCTCATTTCTGACTTGGTGAGCTTGGATGCCAATCCGAGCTTCGAGAAGACTTGGGCTCAGGCAGATCACAGAGCTGTAGTGATTTTTGTTCGTGAAGAAAAACGACACATGGAAGCTTGCACTTGGACTTGTTTGTTTGCTTCGCAGGTCTACTTGGCATGCTGCAACACACAAACAGGCAGAACAGTTTCGATGGTCCTGGTTTGCATGTAGAGCACACGAGCGTCATCGAGCGACAGGCGGAGATTGTTGGCGGCATTGTAATGGCTGCTGCTGCCATGATGTTGACTTTAGACACTTGCGGCAAGCCTTGGCTGGCCATGTGCATGCCCTGGACTGACCATACGATCGACAAGTCACGGCTTTGGGCAGCGGGGTCGAGTGAAGAATGTTCAAGCCAAATTAAGAGGGACGACACGACCAGTTGCATCCTTTTTCTGGTTTGTTGGATACGGCCCATTTTGTTCGAACGACATCATGGAGCCAGGACTCACTTCCTTCAGCGGAGAAGGTGCAACGAGCCTTTTGGCTGATGCCAGAGGCGCCGCAGACACTGAGCTTTCAGCAGACACTGTACTTGGCATTTTGAAACAACATAAGACATAGACCAGACATATACCTAAGCCTTTGAGCATTTAGGTAGGGTTGGGAGCTGGGAAAGGGGAGGCTGTGGAGCTCGCTCTGGAGAGATAGGTCGTCTTCCGGAAGAATGTGATGTCAGTCACATCGGCCGAAAACATTCAGGGATGAAAACATGATTGTGATGGACAAATCTCCTGTCCTCAATTCCCGAATCCAAGCATTGCCTCTGAATCCATCGCAGCATTGCCTCGATTTCGCCCGGGTTGGTTGTACAACTTGACAGCCGCTTTCCTTGACACCTTCGGGCCCCGGGCGATCTACACGTACTCCTCTCACTACTGAGCGCGTAAGCACTCTCTACCAGGTAGCTCCGGAGAAAAAGAAAGCACCAACTGTTGGCATTCTGTTGGCCACCTGAACTGGGTGGGTAGCTTTCGTGCATGTGGAACTCTAGACTGGATCCTGTGCGCAAGAACCAGGCGTACGTTGCTGGTTTGCATTTCACACATCATTGCAGCGGCGATGTGGATAGTTGGCTCGCCTCCAAGGAGATCCGACACTGAAACAGACGCAAGGGTCAAAGCTGTTTGTCAAAGCTGTTTGTCAAGTCGACTTGTCGACTGTCACTTGTCGAATGGCTGAGTTTGAATTTGCTTCGGTAGCCGTGCTGGCTTGACGATGCTTGTCGACAACATGTCATGCAAAGAATGACAGGACAATCATCACAGCGTTCATGTCCAGCAGTAAAAGAACCAATCTGATGTATGTTGAACCAGAAGGGCAGTCTGAAATTCCTATACTAAATGGGCATGGCCCGGCATGACATCATAATGCATCATAGTGACTGCATTGGCATGGTTTCTTCGCAAGTGTGATGAGCGAATCCACAGACTGACATGAAATTGGATTGAAGCAATGTGGGTGCCTCACTGATTTCTTTTGCACCCAACTTGAGGAAGTTGATTTTGTCGCAGGTTCCATGCAAATCTACCTGACAGGTTCCAGTCATAAACCACTGAGCTAGACGTAAACTTCACCTAGCTTTCAGACCTTCGAGCTTGTTCGCCAAACCGACTGCACTGGTTCTTTCATCCAGTTTGGAGGTCCGTGTGCGTTTGCTTCAAAGCACATCCAGAACTTTCAGGAGATGGACCATTTGAAACGAGAATTTGTCATTTGCACGATGTTGCACCCATGTTCAGTTAGCTACTAGGAACAAGGACGCTACGATCGGGGCTCCGCTACGATCGGAGCGATCGGACGCTACTAAGGGCTCCTGGCCGTACTACGAACGGAGCATCCTTACTACTAGTAACAAGAAGCTACTAGGAACAAGTGCATCGCTACTAGTAACAAGTGCCTTACTAGTAGGAGCAAGAAGCTATTAGCTTATTGTTTCTAATAGCTTCTTGTTACTAGTAACTGTTCAGTCAGGATCTGCCCTGAGCCTGGATGCGGCCGCGCTAGGCAGCGCGCCTGGCGCCGCTGGCCGGGGCTTTCGGACGTCTTTCGAGGTTGGGGGTGAAATGGGAGAGGAACATGGAGGAAGAAGTGACAAGAAACGACGAATGTAGCTTAAGGGCATCGCCACTAGCAACAAGTAGTGTAATTTGTTGTGTTGCTTGTTTCAGTGTTCTTCTTTAGAAACGCTCTTGCCACAAACCAAGAATGCTCTTTAGAAACAAACACAGAAGTGTTGTTATTTTTCCTATGTGTTTTTCTTTAAACCTCCAGACTCCAGACTTCTTTCTTCCTTCTCTTTGAAAGGCTTGGTATGAAGGGCACTAAGAGAGCCGACGTATGAAGGGCTTGGCATGGCTTGGCTTTGTGGCGGTTGGCTTGGCATTTCAAGAACAACCGCGGCAGGAACACTTTGACTCCCAAGATGGAGACTGGGAGGCCTTTGGAATGCCCAACTATTCCAAGCTAACTGGACAGGACCGAAAGCTAAAGCTAACTAGACAGGTGTTTCGGCACCAGCTTCGCGAAAGCTAGCTAGCTGCCTGCGTTGGCCAGAGTTGGCAGCTTTAGCTAGCTGAGTTTGTTGCAAGAAAGGGGAGAGGGGAGGCCTGCCACAGTGATTTTTCACTAGAAACTCGAAGAGAACAGTAGGCTTGGCACGCTTCATCGTTCATTCTAGGGTTAGGGATTACACGGTGACGCACGAGCTGAAAAACGAATTGCCGTTCAAAAAAGGCGGAATCACCCAAGTCTTCGAGCTAGAGTTGAAGTTCGAGCGTCCATCTCGTGCCAACTCCAAGAGTAAAGAGTAGTGCTTTCAACATGCATGTTTGTTCTTGTTGTTCCTTAGATAAAAAAAGACACGCATTGTAACTCTAATTCTAACGTATTCAAGTCTAGAGACCAAAGACACACATGTTGCCAAAGCGCTCTAGGACCTTTTGCGGGGTCATCACCATGTGCAGCATGTAGGCGCGAACTGGAGCGATTGGGGCGATCTCACGTTTGCGATTCTGCTGTCACAAGAGCACCACTATTTGTCGCAAGGGAAGCATCACAGGGTGATTGCTGAAAGCAGGGTGATTTGCGATCTCAATTTTGCCGAGGCATCTCACAATATATTTGCGATCAGGGTGATGGTAGTGGCACTAGGTACTTTTGCATCTTAAGTGTGTTGGTATGCCGCTGTCTTCAGGCGGAGCACACTGCAGCCGGGACTTTCATGAGTTCTGTCACTGGGACTGAGCGAGATACTTGTAGTGCTTCTAAAGTACGAAGAATGCGTTAGAGTATGGTGGATAAAGCTATGTTCCTGATAGATAAGTTGGATCTAGTTATAGTCCCAGCTTTGCAAGCATCTTACTCAGGCTTTATTTAGTTTCATTCTCGGCTGCATCTATGAAACACCTGGAAGAGCACTCCTGTCAGAAAGGGGCCATTTGATATCAGGCAGCTTACAAAAGTTTTCCTTTTGCACGTTTGTACTGTCTTTTTCCCCACAAGTGCTATGAGGTCACAGTGGCTATGACTACATTTGTGACACCACAGAGCCCACCTTGCATTGGAGCAAGGAGAGGTGAATGGCGAAGGGCACATGTTGTTTTTTGTTTCGCATTGCTACCAGGTTGGAGGCCATTGCTACTAGGTTGGATGCCATCACTATTAGGTTTCTTTTTTCTGTCCTTTTCATCTGATGAAGTGTCCAGGACTGTGGTGTCATGTACTACTTGTCACCGGGGTCTGGTACAGGCTGGCACATTTACAAGCACCTCGATCAGCAATTCACAGAAGGACCACACCAAAATGTATGTCAATCGCATTCTCTTCGAAAAGTGACAGGTGACCGTCTAATTTATGAACACCATGCACAGTCAGTATCTCCGTTATGGGCTGTCTTTGCAAGATCTGGCTCTTGCGAGAGACCTCTACTCTGACGGCGGTTAGATATATAGACTATAGATCTTTAAGATCCAACTAGTGAAAGGGAACAAGAGAGAAAAACAGATAAACAATCTAGAGAGAGAATGAGAGATGCAGCATCTCAGATGCTTCTCCCAAAAACCTCAGATGATTCATGATTCCGTTTTTGTTTTAATTTGACGGTCTTTTGACTCAATCCCTTTCAAGGCGCTCCCTAACGTCACACTAGGATACTTTTAGGTCAGAGAAAAATATGACGACCTGAGCCAAGCAAAGAAGACAATGTCTGAGCCCAGCAGAGATGCGTTCAGATGCAAGATTAGTTGTGCGAGTTTTCTGGCAAAATCCTTTGCAAAGTCGTAAACGCAACGTCGTAGAGCCTTTTGTGAGGATTCGATCAGATCTGTTCGGATGTGAATTATAAGGCTCCTTGATCAAGTCAACTTCTCACAAGGGCTCGCAAGGGAACCGACTCTTCCGCGTGTGTTTCCAACCGACTCGTCGAAGAGAACGGGCTTGTTGGCATGCCTGAGGTCCCTAACACCCCCTTCCGTGTGTGTGGCGACCCTGTTCGAACCATTGATCTCTCAACGGCCTCTCCATGTTGTTTGAATTCGGAAGACACCCTTTGGTTCTTACATGTTCTTCCTGTTTTCTCATTTTGTCCGTTTCACGTGTTCATTGGTTTCTTCAGTGCCGCATTTTTTTAAAAAGACGTTTAGACCTTCATTGATTTTCTGTTCAAATCCTGACTGATCTGAGGTACATGTTGGGGAAGCCACCGGAGGGCTGCAAGCCCGGGGAGCACTGCGCGGCCTGTGCTGATCCTCCGGGTGAGGTTTCGTGTACCGTCCAGCTTCATGGCGGTGATTGCAAGGACGAGAGTGGCGTTGGAACTGTTCGAACGGTTTGCTTCTTCTTCGTCCCTTCCAATTGGTTTCTTGCAGATTTAGTAATTTAATTCAATGTTGTTTTAATTCTTATTGTTGCTAGTAGTAAGGCACTTGTTTCTAATAGCTTTTTTTGTTACTACTAGTAAGGCACTTGTTACTACTAGCGTGGCACTTGTTTCTCCATTGACAGAAATGTGTTTGCTCCAGGCATGTTTTCATGTTTTCACTGTGTTCGTTGTATGAGAGCTCAATGCTGCTTAGTATCTTATGACAGCAGCTAGGCAGTTGGCACGACGAAGGTAGAAAGGGCGGTTCAAGCTGGAACACATGAGGTTCGATGGACATGCTGTGACCGTTTTCTGCCAAAGAGTGTGACAAGCCCAATGAACACATTCATCGCAAATTCTGCCGTGGCGAAGCGCCAAACATGTCATGTGTTCAAGATCGCACGAACAATTCAACAAACAAGACAAACCCGCAGGTTTGTCAAATCTGTAGGTTTGGAGCACTTGTTTACACCGGCAAACAGGCAACCAGCGGGAAATCTCGAAAAAACACCGCCACCCAGCAGGTGATGTTTGACCATTCACCAGAGCGCTTGATTGGTTTGTACTGGCCACTGTGAGTAAATCGTGCGACCGAGAACCAACTTCAGTTGCTTGATTGGTGGTTGGCCGCTGTGGTAGAGCAGTGATGCACCAGGACACACACAATTCAGACACACAAATCGAATAGACCGTGCCCGAACACGGTGACATGCTGAGTTAGTCTAGCTGGAGTATTGGAACCCTCAGAGCGGCTGAATAGCAATTGGAACTCACCAACGAACTAGTTGGCACATCAGGACGGTAGGGACGGTAGGGACGGTAGGGCATGTTGTCGGTTTCAAGGTCGCTATAGGGCGTTGCCACTTTCAAGTTCGCCGCTCAAACGGCTTCCTACTGCCATGTTCGTGTGCGGATGTCACTCATCTTTTGTACCTTTGTCACAGATGTGTTGTCGCTTGCAAAAGGAGCGGGGGGGAGGATCTCGCAAATCCCAGCATCAGCACAGCTACCGACTTTCCGTTGAAGCTTGGTTCAGCTTTCACTCTTGGAGTTCGACTGAGCTTGGTTCGCTGTGACTTAATCTGACTAAGGAACAAGATGACATTCCTGTGAAGCGATGCCAAAGTAGCCGCAGGAAGTTCGGTGCAACGTGCGGAGAAAAGGCTGTTCTGATGCTGATGCGACACATTTGTTGAAAGTACTTCATAGCTTGAAACACAAACATGCGCTTCTTTAGTTCTCGGGTGTCTAGCAGTCTTCTCATTCGCCCAGATGTCAGGATCCTCTCGGCATTTTGGCACTCCGCCTCTTTTTTCATGATCCTCGGCTGGCAATGCCTTGCTTGTTGCAGTTTTGCCATGCTTTCAATCGCAATCGCGTTCCTGGTGGTGAGGGCGGTGCTTCCAAGTTTAGACATGAATCAAAACAGATCGAATGTGTTTTTTCGCTATTAGGTTGGAGGCCATCGCTAGTTGGTAGGTTGGAGGCCATTGCTTTGCAACAAGCACAATTAGCTATAGCTTTGGATGCACGAGACCTTCCAAAGTGCAACACAAAAAAAAAAACATCCGGAAATGGGGGGGGCGGCGCCGCCCTGTACGGTGCATCAGCATTGTTCCGCAGTCTTAAGCTGATTGATTGTGTGTTTAACAAGCCGCACTACTCTTTGTTGTTGTTTGGCGTTCCTACTCTTTGTGTTTGATGGTCCTGGTATGTCCTGGTCCTGGTGTCAGCTTCACTGAGGAACTTGAAGCCCTGTGGACAGAAGACAACAAGGTGCGCAGTCGAAGCCAAGTCACTCAGAATGTCACTCCAAACCTCAGCTTGTGACTACTTCCGGTACACAGCACAGGCATAAGCGATGACCTCCAACCTAGTAGCGATGACCTCCAACCTAGTTGCAGATCGGGTGTGTTCAAGAGATTTTGATGGAAACTTGTTGTGACACGTGCAACCCAATCTGACACATGCGTTGACAATGCCCTCCATCTCACAATGCACACAAGTACCAGACAACTAATCAATACATTGACATTCGTTGACAAGTCTTGTTAAGCAGAGGCAACGAGAAACAAAGGGGCCAGGACCGGCCACCCGTCAAGCCAACTGCCATGAGCAACCAGAAAAAAAACACAACACACATGTTGGAATGAAACAATTGAACAAACTGACAAAACATATTCTAGTAACTAGAAGCTTCCTTGGGAATAGTTTCACCTGTAGTAACAAGAAGCTACTAGGTTGGAGGCCATCGCTATTAGGGTGGAGGCCACTACTACTAGTAACAAGAAGCGTTTCTAGTATGTCTTTGATCGCTACTAGTAACAAGACGCTTTTTAGTATGTCTTTGAAGCTTCTTAGCAATAAAGCTTTCTAGTAGCTAGAGTGTCTAAGAAAAGATTATCAAGTTAGAAGGAAGCTACTAGTAACAAGTGCCACGCTAGTAGTAACAAGTGCCTTACTTACTAGTAGTAACAATAAGCTATTAATTTTAAACTTAATTTTAATTCTAATAGCTTTTTGTTACTACTAGTAAGGCACTTGTTACTACTAGCGATGCACTTGTAATTACTAGCAAAGGAATCTATTAGAATTAAGAGTGTCTAAGAAAATATTATGGTTAGAAGGAAGCTACTAGTAACAAGTGCCACGCTAGTAGTACCAAGTGCCTTACTAGTAGTAACAATAAGCTATTAATTTTAAACTTAATTTTAATTCTAATAGCTTTTTGTTACTACTAGTAAGGCACTTGTTACTACTAGCGTGGCACTTGTAATTACTAGCAATTTGGATTCTCAAGGCGCAGATGGACGTCCGTGAGCAGCGGAACGCGCAACGAACCTGGGGGATGATGCAGCTTGCGTTGAGCCCAGGCTGAAGCCCGGTGGAATTCAACGAAAGGAACATGTCTCATGTCTCATGTCTTGATTTCATTCATTTTTGCCAAACTAATGTTCATTCATGTCACTTTGGGTTGCTGAACGGTTTAGCTGACCAACTTCTGAGTTGCGGAAACAAAAGAAACACACCTTTGGTAGAAAGACTGTGCAGGACAAGGCTAAACTGTGTCTTTAGAGGTATGGTTCAAGGAAAGAAGAGAGCGCAATGCTGGTCGCAAGATCCTGCTTAGCCCACTGCTACAAGACACCATTCGTTGCCACCATACTTCACTTTAGCACATCGCAAGTCACAGATCACATCACATTCCCACCTTGCCTTGCGTAAATCATCGTAAATCATTGGCAGAAATGTTCGCCCACCTAGGGTTGCCAGAGATGATGTGGTAGATCTACAAAGGCATGAAGGTTTGAACGCCTTTGCGATCGCAATATCCAATATGCACGCTCCAATTGTTTTCAGTTTCATTCCCATTCACGCTATACCTGCTTTACGTTTCGGTGCCAAAGCGTTTAGAGTTGAACTTCTGTTGAGTGCAAAATCTATGAGTGCAATGTCCTCCATCATAGAGTGTTTGACATGCTGTGAAACAAGCTTCATAACATGCCTTTTTGCGTTCATCGCTATTAGATTAGAGGCCATGGCTAGTAGGTTTGGAAGCCATCGATTCAAGGTGGGAGGCCATTGCTATTCAGTTAGTATTGAGGAAATTCTTTTCCTTCCACGAGATTGCTGCAAGCGGTTGGCCAGTGCTGAATCTTGCAAAGGCTGGGAGACTTTGAAGGTCTAAGCACTGTTGAAGAGTTTCTGGTGTGGCGTAAAATGCTTGAGAACATTCCAGCACAGTTTTCCACCTGCCTGGTTGGAGGCCTTGTACACCTTCTTTGAAATCCCTTTGTCTGTGGTCCAGGACGCATGTGTCCCACGATGTCAATGTGGCAAAATGGATCGGTGCATTGGCAACCCGCAGGAGCAGGAGAGACTGCAGAACGATGCCTCCAACGATGGAAGGCGAAACCGGCGCAAGGTGTCTTCGATCTGGAGGAGGGTCCTTTTTTATGGTGTGCCAATGCGTGCCGGACTATAAGATTCGTCATGTTTGTGTGTGGATTGTCCAAGGTTGGCACCACAACAATCACAGCAATGCAATTGTTGGACATTGTGTGGTCAAAAGCGCGGTGCATTGATCGTCCGAATCCAGGTTCTTCCGACTACTTTGGGAACACGCTCCGTTGAAGAGCAGAAAGGCCCGAAGAGCTATGAATCGGGGAACAATCTAATAGCGATCGCCTCCACACTAGTAGGAATGGCCTCCAACCTAGTAGGGGAGTTTTCTGTATTCTTGTGCATGAAATGGGCAGGGCGTGCGACCTGGCCTCCAACCACAAAAAGCGATGGCCTCCACCCTAGTGACGATGTAGATACCTGGAAGCAAACCAAGTAAAGAGCATTATCCTCGGCCGGCAAGCGTCACCCCACATGCAAGAAGCTTCCTGGACACCTGGATGCGTATCACCTTCATTTCTTGCAGGCGCCCAAGGAGGAGAATCAGCGAGGGCGAGGCCTTATAAGTTATATTGCACTGGTGAAGTATTGGCCAAAGACATGGCAATGCAGCCAACCAGAGTTGTTCTTCGATTCCGGATGACCTTTCGTCGGCGGAGCATCAAATCGCCGCCAGACCTGGAATTGCAGCTGCTGCACGTTGCCCCGCACGTCTCTCTTAAGCTGAAGCCAATTGCACAGATCGTTCAGGCGGAGCGCGGACCATGTGGAAGCCTGTGGAAGCCAGTTTGGGTAATTACCTGACTACCATGAGATACCTGTGGTACCGGTACGTACCTGTGCTTGAGCAAGTTGCTGGACACTTTCAAGACGAGGACAGTCCTCCTGTTCTTTTGTAGTAGGTCGGAGGCCATCCCTCTTAGGTTGGAGGTCATGGCTAGTAGGTTGGAGGCTGTCGCTGGCAGGTGCAGCTCCGTCACGACGATCTCGAAGTCCCATCGTGCCGGCGGAGATCCTCAGCGTCCGATCTTCGCGCCGTCCATGGTCGTCGTCCCTTCGTTCTTCCTTCGTTGGGAGCAGACGAAGGGACCGGAGTAGAAACCTCTCCTGGCGAATCCCGATTCGGAGCAGAATCCGTGCTTGCAAGGGGAGGATGCGTGTTCACATTGGTTCTTGGATGAACGAACTTGTTCAGTGAGGTCATCAAGCCTTGACGATGAGCTCTCCAGAATACTCAAAGAAGTCTTGGGCGAGGTGAGGATTTTGGGACGGGTTTAGTGCACGGCAACAACATCTTGGGGATCACAGTATACTTCAATTATCGACCTCGGTCTTCAAGAAACGAGATATTTATTGACCATTTGAGCTTTTTTGGACCGAAAAGGCCACGTTCTCTATCGTTCTCAATCGTTCTGTCGGACTGCTATGGACGGATATACCGCGATCACATGGTTCACCTGGCATGCGGCGGCTTGGGGCGCTGGTTCGCCCTGGCAGGTACCGTCTCTTCATCATTTGATGTTCAACACCTTTCCAGCCACACCCTTGGCGCGCGAGGGGCGTCGCCGACGTTGTGGCGAAACGAACACATGGGATGTTTGACGTTGTGCCAGCCACCCAGGTGTTAGCCCTGCTGGATCGCTTGCTGCTGCCAACTGCAGCTTGGGCCAGGGCTTGAGCCATCTTTTGCCAAAAAAAAACGACACTCTCCAGATCTGCTTCACGTTTTGCGCCTGCAAGAGTTGACAGGCGACAGGCTTGTGAGTTCGCGACTAGGGGAATGCAGAGCAAAAAGCTCTTCGGCAGGTCGGATTCGAGCTGTGCACTCCGCCAATGTGGCGGAATGGCTTGGCTGCGTACACGGCTGCCAGGCAACTGCGTAACCGTGAAGATCCGGTGAAGCACTTCTCAAAGTCTTGGAGTATTTCTTTGTGTTTTCTTTGTGGAAGATGCAGGCTGCATGCCAGCACCTTGGACCGCAGCCGGCGAACACGAAGCTGAAGTGTATGGCGAAGTGACAAAGGGTGTGTTTTTTTGGAAGTGACAATCGAGTCGAAGATAGCTTGCAGGCGAAGACACCGGGTGTGCAGAGCTTCAGGCTGTGTTGTGGTGATTTGCCTCAAGCATGGTCATTGCAGTTTTTTTGTGGACTGCTTAAAGACTTTGCAAGTTGCTTTTGGCTTTTTGCTACTACTGGTGGTAACAAGGGCATCGCTACTAGTAACAATCTGATTTGTGTTTTTGCTTTGTGAGCAACAAGCAGACTAGGGGCTCCTGGCCTTACTACTAGGAGCAAGGACGCTACTAGCGGCTCCTTACGGAGCATTCTTACTAGTAACAAGAAGCTACTAAAGCTGCACAAAAGTCACGCCTTCACTCGTCGTCGCTCGGCAGAGCTTGATCTACGAGCGAGACATCGCTTGCCTTGTGGATGTCGGGGCCATGTGCTGTGCCTCAGGGAACGCGCGCGGAACGCGGGCGGTGGCAAAGAGCTGGGGTCGCGGTCATTGTCAGACCGTGACAGAACAAGGATGGAAAAGGGTTAGGACAAGAAAGCTTCTTTCCTGGCTAATAAGTTACTAATAAGGCATCTGCTAGGCATTACTAGGCACTACTAATTCGGCTCCGTATCTGGTTCTCAGGTTCGGAGCGTGTGCTGCTGTAGCTGCCCATGCCTTTCGAGCCACTAACAGAAAGGCCAAAAGAGCAGGGAGAAAACGCGATTCAATGATTCAATGGCACTGTGTAAACGATCAACAGCCCAGACACAAGATGCTGGGGTCAAAGCAATATGTCCAACACAACAGCAATATGTGTTTTGTGACCCACAGATATGACCGCCTTCCCAGCAGGTGAGAGTCGTTGCGTACGAGAAGAGCCTTTCGAGTGTGCAGATACTGCGGAGGACGCTCAACGCACGTCGGTTGGCACCATGCATGCTCCGCAACCGAGCGGCACTAGGACGGCGAGTCTGGGGAACCTGAGCGTGGAGGCCCGCCGTTTGTGGAGGTTTCTTTGGGTTTGGTACTCTGTGGTACATAAAAGCCCGAGTTGGAGAAAGAGGAAGAATGGAAGAATAGAGTATAGAGTCTAGAGCTTGGCTAGATGAGGAAAGGAAGAAAGGATTGACATTGATGACAAGTCCCTCTACGTTTGTCCAACGTGGCTTTAACTTTACAACATAACTCTCCAGACTCCCAGAGACGCTCCAGGCACATGCTGTTTGCATGGTCAACACGCAAAAGGAGTGCTGGGGTTGTGAGGCGCCAGCCCTTCAGACATGTTGCTGCGCGTTGCTGCGCGTTGCTCGAACAAGGGGTTGACTCCTTTTTGGTGGATGTCATGTTCCAAGTCGCTCAGATGAATCAAATGTTCCATGGTTTGTTCCAAGTCCGTCCTTGCGCCAAAAAGTCTAAACCCAAAAGCTGAGAGCAAACGCTGCGAGCGTTTTCGCTCCAAACCCGCTCGCAACCGATGGGAATATCTCCAGGTCTGCCACACTTTAACGGAAGACTATCCCTTTGGATCAGAGGCGTGAACCACTGCCGTGAACCGTCGTGACGACCTCAAACCACCGGTGAATTATTCCGGGTCCGAACAAGGTCCGGGTTTGACGCCGGTGGTCAGACCCGTGTTTGAGTGGCTTTCAATTCCGTTTGGGGTTGTTCTAAGCCGTGACTTGAAGTTGTGATGCTATGCCATGCTGTATGCTGCTAATTTGTCGCAGTCACATTGAGATTGCAGGAGGAAACCGTACAATTCCTGTGTTCAATCCCCTTCATTATCTGCAAATGTACTTCAAACAAACACATAACATGGATAAACATGCAGACTATCAGTAAGTGTCCGAATTGCTTTGAAGGGAACCCGTGTCTGGCCTGTTGTTCCAATGTTCTTTCCCGTTAAAGAAGACAATCAAGGCCGAAGACCAGTTCTTCTTTGCTTCGAGCGTCAGTTTTGTCGGCACGGCTTGAG